GCGTCATTGCCTTCAAGAGAGCGACACTAAAGAAGTGAACATGTTCCTTCGGTTCGACAATGGTGTGAAAATACCCGAATGCTTAAATCTCTTGTATAAGTTCCATGTATTCTTCCGTTGCCGCGGGACACCTGTATAAGTCGGCCAAAATGCTGCCAAAAAGGAAAAGATGCGTATTCTCCATGGGAGACAGCCAACAAAAAGAAAACGTATTCTTCCTAGATACACCAGTAGATGTATTGCCCAGTAGACCCTCGATCACAAAGGCCAACAGTGCAGTCGGTAGCGCGTCGTGTGTGGATATGAAGAAGAGTGGTCGTAATTTTTGAAAAGATGCTCACTTCACAACATCGTTTGCTCTGAGTAGTGACTCATTTACAATTACCCCACGATTTTTCGGGTTGATACGTCACTATTTTCGATATCGCGACAGCGGAAGCACCGGCATGCTCATCCAGAATTTTCAATATCTGTCGGTGATAAGAATTCCACTTCCCAAAGCAGTTCTTCACCGAATTATTCGCAGAGGCAAGAACCGGCCCAGAGCAAGTAGTACACTAGATTCTGGGTTTTTTTAACCGGTCTTTTTTTAAAGTCCAGGCAGCGTTTGAACATCCATCAAAAAATCAAAGATAAAATCCCCTCCGAATTCGCTCGCCGTAAGATGTGCAGACATTTACAAGTAGCTGGAGTCATAGCAAGTGTCAGCAGCAATAGCAGCAGCGGTCAGGGCAAGGTTGTTATTGGCTCCAACTTCGAGATTTGTTTAAAAGTAAGCATTACCAATTTACCATCGCAACAAATGACCAAGTTGTAGAGAGATTAGTCGTCCCAGAATCCTTGAAATGCGCAGTAGCAGCACTATTTCTCACATTCACACCGGCATATATATATAAAAGAGAAATAGTGCTGCTACTGCGCGGTGCGAATGCGAGAAATAGTGCTGCTGCATGATACTTATATTCTATATATATATATATATAATGTATTATATATATTCTATATATATAGTATCTGTAGAATATATATATATATATATTCTACAGCTGCATTAGCATTTTATTCACATTTACTATTTCAACTTGTTACCATTCACATTGACAAGCAAGTACCACTGGTATATTAAAATTGCTCGTTCCCTCGCATTTATGCTTTCGACAATATTCGTACATTCATCTCGTTCCACGATTGTTACTGATGCATTACTATCGCCGCCTCTTCCCGTTTGGAGAGTCTTTCCTGTTTCTTTCATTCCTTCTAATCCGCTCTTCTTACGGCTGTTCCAGTACCTGCACTTATTCAAATAAGCAGGTACCTGAGTAAATGTCCTTGCAGCTTACTTGAAAATAGTCTCGAGAAGCGCACCCACAGAAAATCACAATAGAGAGCATCTAAAAAAAGCGAAAAATTTTCACAACAATAAGTCAACATACGATCTGTCGCTTCAATTACGCAAACCATGACGAACGCTTGCATTTCACGCAGTGTCACTGTTTTTAGAGATGTATATTTGACTCGTACAACATTTTGACCAGGAGATGGTTCAACATTCTCTCTTTCTCGGATAATTTCATAAACCTGAAAAGACAATAAGTCAATATTTGAAGTCGGTTTGTCTTTTCCCTGACATATGGTGTTGTGAAAAAGATTCCGTTTCTCGCACTTCCCAGCGAGAAAATGAAAGTTTTCTGCCTTCGGATTTCTTTTCGGTCACTAATCAAAATGAAAGAAACATCATAGGCCAGCATGCTTATAAAATCATTGGCGACGTGCGCTGGGGGGTCCCGTGCGATCATGCGTCTTTGCAGTTTTTCCTGCTGTAATAAGATTACTCGAAGTTCCGTTAGCT